CCCCGGGGGGGGTACTCCCATATATTTGCTATACGGGGACGTGCCGCTGGCCAGGGTATGGTTTTTGGCCTTGCTGTCTTAAACAGGGTATACATTTCACCCGAAATTGTCTTAAACAGGCTCTACAATTTAGATAAAAGAGACCGATATAATTTTTTTGTGTGTCTTGGACAGGGTAATATTTTCATAACACCGTAGAAATAGTAGAAATACCGTTTCACTGTCCCAGAATTAACGTGTTATCAAAAACTTCTTATTGTCTTTGATGGATGTCAGTATATTTGCAGTTTTGATGGTTGCAGCGTAGATAGCTATTCCTTTTTTTCCGATTTGTCTTGAACAGGGTATGGATTTTTACTTTTTAGTGTCTTAAACAGGGTCAGGGATTTAGACCGCTGGCGGCACGTACCTATCCAAAACGTGGTCGAGTTTTGCCGCTGCAACGCTCCTCAACTTTCATTTTCTGATAGATTATTAATATCATCATTATTTTATTTTGTACATTTATTTTATTTTGAGGATTACAGATTTATTAGCTTTTAGCTATTTAGTGCCACCCTCTTGAAATAAAGTATCTATTCTATTCTTACCTATTCTATAGGTGAAAGCCAACCAAGATATAATACTAACGAGGTCATTAGTTTGACTGATGAACAAAAACTTGATGAATCTACTAATATTTACCACTCTTAGCAAACATGGTCGTTTTACGTGCAATCCTGTGCAGATAGATTATTATTGGTTAATAATAGTCTTATGTACTATATTAAATAGTTAAGACATGAAACTAATAGGTGAGCTCATTAATATTGACAAGATTTGCGAGCATTGATCACTAGGAGATAAGACTAACGAGGWCAATCATCCGAATCCCTTGAAAWTATGTTTATCATAAGTTAATCAAACATAATTTGCAGTTTTATGACAAATTGTGTTTTAAACTTGAAACGAACATTGGAAAAGGCATGAAATTCTTGTAGACTTTGCATAATCACAAAGCAACGCATTTTGACAAGATATCAATGTATTTTTTTATAAATTTTGTTCTTTCTTCTTTTGAGGCAAGATTTTCTCTACTTTGGGATGACTGCGTAATAGCAGAGAAAGTACAATATGTATAAATGGGTCATATATTTGAATCACACAGCGTTTTGAAATTGGTGCTTCTTCGTGTAAAAGTAGAAAAATACAGYCTCATTTACAGCGCTCTCCTATTTATTTTGTGTGAATTGCAGAGAACAAAGATATTAGCATACTTCATTTGCAGGCGTGCAACGTTCTATTGATATACGTTTAATGACTAACGAAGGGCCTTCTTTGTAAAACAATGGACACTAATTAAACAAATACACAGAAAGTTCATAAGGATACTATTAACATATTTATTCATATCTGCAGGCAGAAGACATGGGTTGCCGTGCACTGCTTTTGTTTTGCTTACTTTCAATCTTGTTAGGGGGATTTCTATGTATTTGGTTTTTGGTTTTTGAAAGAGGCACGAAAGGGTACGTATATTCACAACTAATTGGATATCTGATCATTCGTACTTGAGAAACAAATTTAAGAAAATTTAAGGTGCATTCAGAACAAACAAGTATACCTTTTCAAGATTTTCTGCAAGTAGACTCATCCTGATTATTACAAAAAGAAGTACTTATGTTCTACAAGAAAAGACAACTTTGATTTAACTTAATGTAAGTGTCRAAGAAAAAAAGAAGTTTTTTTTACAAGAATTAAAAAAGAAATGGAACTTACACTCCACACTTTTTTTAAAGAAAATTGAGCATCGTAAATGATCCTGAAATTTTTCGTTATTTGATTCCGACTGTTAATACGAACCAAATTTAATGTATATCAGCCCCAGAAATCAACGATTTCTTTCATACACCTGTATATCACAAGAACATTTATTGATGATTTATTTAGATTCCACAAAGATCTTCAGCCGAAACGGAACATCAGTGAATCTAAACACTGCAATAACACCATAACGAACACTGATGGAATTTCACGATCAAAGAATTTCACCAACACATTTGTACACAAAAATGCCTCCAGAATCCAAAATGTTTGTGGTTACGACGAAKTGCAKGRTTCKTATGTGTGTTGTCCTGGTTGGTGTGGTTACAGAGAAGGTCTAGGATGTCTTGAAGGTATGATTTACCATTGAAAACAGTTGAAACTATCAATCGAACTTCCAAAGAAACTATCAATCGAACTTCCAAAGAGCAATTTAGTTTCTCAGATATCATCATTAGAACTTTACTCTAAATAAACATTTAACATAGCTTTCTTATCGAAGATACTAAACAATGATTGACTATGTTGTCCTCCTCTGCAGAGATCCCTTGTGAAGTTATGATATCACAAAAAGCCAACAGTCACTGCAAAGTTAAGAGAATAAAACAACTGTCCACTGTTAAAACCATTTACAAACTTGGCACTTTACCTGGTTTTCCCGTTGCTGTAACTGACATTGAAGCCATGAATGCAGTCAAGTTGTACTTAGCCGACCCTTTTACAAAGACATGGATGCAAGTGTACATCAGCATGATGAAATTCACCGACCGAAACGTCAAAAGATTCGTGTCAAATCAGAAGGAAATCACATCAATAAAAGATTATCAAGATATCTTCACCTTTCTTCTCCAAGAAATGAAAAGCGAGCCAACTGTAAGTCAGTTCTTACTTTAAGACGTAAAGGGGGAGGCTGAATTCATCTTTGTCGGTTTGAAAAATGAATTTAATAACCAAATTGAGAGATGGGTATGAAGTCAAGAGGGAAGTTCCYAACCACACGTGTGAGTGAGATGTATAAGTGGTTATCACCATAAATGATTGAGTAATACCATAATGAGTGTATTTGAATTGACAATGATGACGTCAACACGCCTTCTTTCTTTTATTTCACAAGCTACCATCTCCGTTCTTTCGCCATCCATTCGAAACGGTGCCCTTTAAGAGCGTAGTTGACAACACTACTTGGAGAGAAGACAGTACATTCGTTCAGATGCGCCTGGCTGGAATCAACCCAATGTGTATCCAACGCATCTCCAATGAACAAGGTATGAACGATGAATTTTCATTTCATTCAAGTGATGTTATGATCTCAAGACATTACGTATTTCATCCCTGTCGCAATCTCTTCTTCAGATATTGGTATAACGTGGAGTGAGTTATCGCGTCGTCTAAACAAGATGTTTGACTGGAAGACTGCAATTCAAAAGGCATTTGGAAAATCATCCTCCTTACAGATGGTAAGTTTACACCGAATAGAGGCACGATTTATTGGAATTCACCGCCTGTAGAAAGCACGTACGTCATCTTCCTCCTCCTTCTCCTCATCATCATCATCGTCATCATCATCATCATCATCATTATCATCATCGTCGTCATTATTAGGGCGCCATCCAACGAATTCTGTAGCTAGTATATTATCACCTACTATGACATTGTAATTATACGCAGATGATCAGCGATGGATCAGTGTATGTGTGCCATTATCCATTGTTCGATAACCTGGTCAATATGCCTGACATCACTGAACCAAGACCTTCACGTAAAATGTGGCCATCGATGTCACCTATTGCTGTTTTTGTATCACGAGAAGGAGAGTTGGTTCCTGCAGCCATACAAATGGACGCTAAGCAAGGTAAATACTGA